CTGTTTCCTAATTTCCGTTTCTACGGAAATCACCTGTGCCCGGAAGAGTATAGTCATTCCTTGCGTGATCCTGCCAGTTAACCCTCAGTATACATCAAGGCTATCTTTGTTGCACGTGGTTTAACCGTCGTTTTTGCTCCTTCGTTAGAACAACTATTTCTATGCAGTACGGCAACATTAACCTGACTAAAACAAGATTCGGTCGCATGTTGGTAGAAAGAGGCACTTCTTTCTCAGCTCAAGTATTGGACAGGTTTCCAAAAGCTGTCGAGGTTAGGGCGATCCACTTAACGCTGGCTGGGTGGTACCATCGTGGAAAGGATGAAGACGAGATACCTCAGTTGGTCAACCTTCTGTAGTGTTTTACCTCTTCATTTTACTTGGAGATTAGATGTACAGGACGGGTTTATCATAACGTTTGACTTCCAGACGTCAAGGAAGAAACCGCTGAATACGGACTGTCATAAAACAGCACTCCCCGTACTACTCACCAGGACAACATCATGTGGGTGCTCCTACTCAACAAAATATCCAGCCAGTAGATAGAAACATAAGATGTTCACTTTTGTTGAAGGAATTTGTACATTAAAACGCAATAGAAAAAACCAAATAGGCTGTTTACATATTTCTAATGAAATAGCATTGCAGTTCATGAGGTCAAAGGCGGGACATTTTCCAAGGCATAATACTGACTTTACAATGCGTTGATAAGCTGCACGTGAGCTTTTAGCCTTTCAGCATAGTTCATCGTTTAGTAAACTAGGTACTGCGTTCATAATAATGCTTTAGAACAACAGTAAACAATGATTAAAAGCAGTAGGTCAATTGATTGTTTATTTTTAATTCATTAAAAAGTTAAATGTAAAGAAAACGTCTAAACAATCTATACCTTAATTGAAATTAATGCCTCCTTCTTGAAATGTCATCTGGAAGAGACCATTTACTTAAATCGACTGAAAATACTCAAGAAACGGCACATAAATGAACTGGTACAATCAAGTTTACTTCTACCTAAAGAATCATTTAACGACAGAAACATATAACCACTGCTGCTGAAACGTCGCCTGAAGAAAGCGTTGCCTGAGAAAAAAGCTGAAGCGTCGCCTGAAATCATATTCGGATCACAAGCCGCCTATTTCAGAATTTACGATTGCATGGATTCCTCTAACCCCCCCATCATTAAACTGGTCTAGATAGCATATTTCAAATAGTCGGTCTAAGAGCCCAAAATGATGAAAAGAATCTCAAATGCTTGGGTTCTGAGTACAATTACATTAAAAAGTGGTTTCACTTTAAACACCAAAGCTCGATTTGAATATCACTAGCGTTCGGAGGCTCGAAAAAGTGGCATGGTTCACGCACAATTCGTGTAGTAGGACATATGGACCATCAGTCTTTTCAGATGATTCTTTGATTGCAAACGTTTGCAATTGCACATCATTTATAAGTCTGCTCTCGCTACATGAAAACAGGACCAATCGATCAGCAATCATGCGTATCACTCGACTCATAATACCAGGTGATTGCCATGAGTATGAATCAGCAATTCATTGTTTACTCAACAGCTGATTGAATAAATACTAGTTCATTAGTAGCCTCTTGTTCCTACGTGCCTAGGGTGCTGATTAAAGATTACTCGTCAACGGCATATCAATACCTACAGCGAATAGGTGCATCTAGCGTATTTCACTAAAAGATTGATTCGTATGCCTACTACGTTAAAAAAGCCGCAAATCACCAAAATTAAGTATTAGCTAACAATGCACAATCACCTTGCTTCTAGAAGCCCACGAAATCATTCAAGAAAATTCAAACTCCGGTGAACTTCGCGTTAATTTATTGACTAAGTGCCGTCCAACTTGTCATCAATGATGTTCCACGGCTGGTATTCCGATGTTTTCGACCAATATGGAAAACGGGGGTTCGTACGACCGAGAATAGTTATAAAAGCATAAGCCGTATGACTCAGCAACCACCTCCTAGTCAGTAAAACAGTTCCTATTGCCTCTACGCATCGGAAAGGCTCAAATACATGGAAGAGAGACTGCTTCGTACAGATATCTAGAAAAGGGGTCGCGCTTGTCCTCTGAAACAGTTTAAATAGATTATGCGCATACTGGCATAATTTCCGCTTGTGAACCCTTTTTTAACTGTTTTGAAAATGTGCTTGAAACGTTACTACAACCTTGCACAGATACTAATCAGCCATATCTTTAAGAAAGCGAAAGAAAAGGAACAAAAGCTTGTCCACTCAGAAGTCGGTTCCTTCATGAACCACTTTATTGTTAAGAAATATGGTGCAGAATTTCATAAGCTCCGCGGTACATAAACTTCTACCACTTTCGGGAATAGCTGTAGCTGGAAACTATTTATATTTTACCATCAACCTATAAAAGTCTCTTTCCGATAATCGTCAGAAATAGACGCTTCGTATCACCACATTTTAACTTATCTAGATTCACTGCATTTCAAAAATTATATTTACTAACTTAATACAGAAATCGTTCGATTGACGATCACCATCAGCACTGGTCAAATTCAATCCCATTTATATGCATCTAATTTAAACGACCATTATAATTATTTAATCGATAACCAACGGCATATTTCGTACATCACCAGCACGGCAATAAAAAATTCAAAATTAAAACATTTAGCAAAATATAAATTAGCTTTTATCGATTTTAGGGCAATTTAGTTACAATAGCCAATGAGTTCCAACGACTATACATAGTTTATGAAACACTTAACGATACATGATCCTCTTCTGGTAATCTGTTGTTTACGAACAAGGCCTAAGACAACAAAAATACTATAAATAGTCAGCAACATCCATCGGCATCTCTTCGATGATCGTGTGGTAATAATTCTCAATATCTTTCAGCGTGCGCGCGTCGTTTTCGGTAACAAAATTTATCGCTACTCCCTTGCGGCCAAACCGACCGCTGCGACCAATCCTGCAATGGAACCCACTGTTACAGAAACCACGTTGAAACTGATAGCGAAACATTCACCCGTTACATTATTAATATTCACATAAATACATTATTCAAAAAAAAACAATGGCACGTATGCATGCATTTATCAGCAAGCGACATCAAGGTCATGGAATAAAACAGAAAGTTTTGCGTTAGCTTAACTGAATAACCAAATCAACTGTGTATGATTTAGCAATCATAATTTTTAAAGAACAGGCATTTCGAGAAAAAAAACGAGAAACTTCTGCAATGCAGCGCCTGGGTACTGAAAAATGGCACCTTATTTTAGGACCGAATTTAAGTCGATAAATCAATCGATCATAATTTCGGAGCAACCATTGTTTTGAAATTTACGGATACTTAACCGCAGTGTTATGAAATTCAACCAACAGAATTTTCCAATAGTCCTGAGCCTTTGCCAATCATGTTAGCTTAACGAATTGTACTCCGATGTGCGAAAATGCAAGAAGTTACATACACCGTAACTAATCTGTACCACTGGTAAAGCATATGCAGAACATCAGCTGTCAAAATACCACTGGCGATAACGAAGGAGCTGCGAGATGCGAAAATCCGATGTTGCCGGCTCCAAGCCTAGGTGAGTAAGGACTGAGAACCGTTTAGAAGTCTCTGTAAAACTCAGCCACCGGCCCTTCATAACATCATAACTGAACATCATAACATAACTTTATAACATCAGAACTGCCATCATCGAACATCATACCAGCTCGGTCGTCGCCCAGGCTACCAAGGGAAGCGCAGGCTGCTGGACTACTGAAGCAGACTACGAAAAGTCAGCGATTAAAACCTGCTCATCGACTTCTGGCAGGCGGCGCGTAACAGCACGACAAGGGCTGCTGAAGATCGACGAAACGACGACGAAGACACCAATCAGCAACGGAGTCGCTACCCAGTCGGGAAGGAGAAGACAGACAGCGTGATGCCATTATCGCACTTCCCCATACGGGCTCCACGGCAACGATA